GATTCCCGACGGCTACCAGGCGCTGGACGTGTTCCGGCGGCTGCTGCTGGTGCGCTCGTGGTGCCCGGACCGCACGCTCGCCCAGTCGCGCAAATACGTGTCCGAGTCCATGGGCGCGCGCTTCTCCGACGCCGTCATCACCAAGTGAGTGAGCACACGTGCGCAAGCGCTCACAGTTGTTTTTTGTTCGCATTGACATTTTTTGTTAATCTAGGTGAATGACAGAACTATGCATATGGTTGCCTGAGAATTTAATTAACTTACAATCAAGTGACAGAGGAGACGTCGAGCACATCTTAACTAATAATTTTAAAAAACGTCTTAAGGAATGAATGTAAGGGGTATTTGTTTCTTATTCTAGTAAGGTTGTTAGGATTTATGTCAAGCATGAATTTTTGGGAAATATGCTATTTAGGTTATGTTTGTGTGAAAGTTACAAAAATAAGTAGAGCAAAAGTTTTCTAGGGTAGCCGCTGGAATTCGCGAGTAGGGGTGGAAGTTGAAAGTGGGGGGAGGGGGCAGAAGGCGGCGCTTGTTCGCATTAGCCAACCGCATCGCACGTACTAGCGAACTTACGTGGAAATGAATTTGCTTCAGTGTCTTCGTTCGGTAGTGGAGAAACACCCAATTCACCTGATGGCTCGACTCTCCTCTTATCATCTACATCTTTTCCACTGACATGTACCCGTTTCCTCATTATCATAACTGGCATCACTTCCACTATCATTACTATAGTTCGCGCCGTTTCGGGTGACAATTTCTTGGTAAATTAAATCATTGTGCAGAGAATCATTCCCTCATTGAAACCATCGAGAGCAGATTCCAAGTTCTTTCTCTATTCTGAATTGAAAATGAACACGTTTCTCCCGACTCAACAGAATTCATTTTATTATGACATACATTTTTGAAATAGCCTTAGCAGCAGCCAAGAACTGCTTCGATATTTTTAACTCTTACTTTTGCTTCTCTCTTAATAAATTAATATACTTTTGCAACGACTTCACGCGTCTGCGTGTGACGAACTTTCTTATACAACTTGCTTTGAACCAGACGCATTGCTATAATCACAAACAGAACAATAATCACTTAAACATAACTTTATGAATCACGTACAAATGCTTCACTCTAGTAGGAAACGCAACTGCCGGGAGAAGAGCTGTCAACACGTGCTGGGAAGGGACGCGCTCCCCCGTAAACCGATAAGTTTGAGGGATGGACTCTTCCGACTATATGCCCTAGGATGTACGAGGGGTTCAGGCGTTGATCAGAACGTACATGCTTTCATCGCTTTATTCCATTGCTCTGTGAAGGCGGTCTGATTTGTTAATTCCTCGTCAGATAATGTATTTCTGGCTTGCACTAGCTGTAATTCAAAATAGTCTGCCCCATTTGTATGTGAAGTACCAACCTGGCTTCCAAAAACTGAAACACGCTGACCGGCTGGAGGCGGTTGCTTTTCGAAGGGAGGAGAATCCTCAGTGTAATGCTAAAATAAAAAGAGCGTTTAACAACAGCCAAGCGAACGCGTGTTTTAAACCAGACTCCTTGGTTTAAATAGGCGCTTTGGGTGAAAAAGAAGGCTTCTTGATTAAACAAATGCTTTTTTTTATGTAAACATTCTAGGTAAAAATTGGTTTGAGTGTTTTGAAAGAATTTTGTTCACGTCATACCTTCTTGACTTAAGTTTTTAATACATAACTTTTTTAAATGAGATATAAATAATATTTGAATTTTCTGCAAATAGACGCCATTTTCTAGTCGAGTTTGCTTTTAGTAAAATAATTCTCAACACCAAATGTATTGTTTACGATATTGAAATCATTTCTTTATTTCAGTAAATATGAACACTAGCAATAAGTAGGCGGTCAAAATAATAAAAGACTTTTCCAATAAACGAAAAATGTTATTTGAATGGTTACATAATAAAGAAATGATGAATTATTAGAAAGAAATTTGTCGTGACTAATTGCTTTAGAAATAAAATATACTACTCTATTCCGGGAGAATAAATAAAAACCAAAAATACATTTTAGGAATGATCACATCAAGATAGTGAAGTTCTACGTGTTAATACCTCTCAAAAGCAGGAATGTGAAATATAAAGAATAAAAATGATTGTTTTCACTCGTAATCTTCAGAGAATTCCTCACAAACCTTCTTGAAGAATTCGAAGACAAGTTGTTAATGCGTTTATAAAATGTGATATGTAGTTAGATTTACGGACCAAATATTCATTTCCGTGCATTGGTTTATTATTAAGGAGCTTAAAAACGGTTAAAATGTAACTTAAAACCATATTTTAAAGCAGGATGAATTAAACAAACCTCCCTTGCCTCAAAATACGCCATTGTTACAACGGTAAAAATATATATTAAGCCGTGTTTTAAACCAACCTACCCTGCCCCAGAACACGGCATTGTTTTCAACGTTTGAAATCGCCATTAAAATGCAACTTAAAATGTTTTAAAACATGCCTATTTAAACCAGTCACCCCGTCCCACAACACTCTATTGCGTAGGTACGACGTGTTGCTGGAGGAGTCGCGGCCGATGACGCCGCTGGTGTGCTTCCTGAGCATGGGCTCCGACCCCACCGCCAACATCGAGCAGCTGGCCAAGCGCCTCATGACGCAGGTGGTGGCCATCTCCATGGGTCAGGGCCAGGAGGTGCACGCGCGGAGGCACGTCTCCCGCTGCATGCCCGAGGTGACAGCCACTCAACACAACGCCAACACAACGAAAAGAGAATACTAGGAATAGGAAAATGATGCGAACTCGCTACATTGCTGGTAGGAAACGTGGAAAATAACTCCATGTCAAAGTCGCTCAAAGCGCCAGAAGTGGCCTGTCAAAGAACTAGAAGAATTGTCCGCTTCCGCAGCATAATACTCTAACTTTAAAAAAAAAATTCGCATGCTATCTTTGAAATATTATTAAGCAGAATCTCATGAAATATTGATCATATTGTCACTTTCTCAATGCACCAAGGATGCAAAAGGTAAATAAGCAAGTCATCTAGTAAGGTCGATAACGAGAGAAAAGCAATAAATATACAACTCATTACTTTTATTAGTCAATGTACTCTTTTTTATAGTGAGAACAACTAATTATGAAGATTTTATTGCTTGTCAAGCAGACGCAGCAAATACTTCGAAGTTTTCCGTGATTTCTCCGACAAACACCAGGCGAATGCGGAGCCATACCCTAACAAACGGGCTACGGACCGCGCGCGACCGTTCCTTCATTTTCCTTGCCTCATTCTCACCGCATACACACATTTACACTAACATGCACTACCCTACCTCACATGCCGGGAGACCGGTCGGGAGCTTAGAGCTTGTCCCGGTTGGGGAGTGGCCCTACTAGTGGGAGATACCTGGTTGGGGAAACCCCGCTAGTTTACGGTATTCGGCAGCATATCTCCCCACCTCCCTAGAAGGAAACATGCCCTAGGCTTACGGGACTCATAGTATCAGTAGTTGACGCGCCCGGAATTACAACCAAGAAAATACATTGCAATTATTGCCAATATACTATAATTTCCAAGAGCATGTATTGTTGTGAAAACAATAGATTATACATTGTTTTCGTTGACTACGTTGACTTGAAGCAAGAGACCCGTTTGAATATCTTCTACCACAAGTAAAAGAAAAAGTATATCAGTGTGTGACGATGAAATAAACACGACACTATCCTATCATCGCACAAGTATTCCATCAACCAGCGCAGCATTTGGTTGTCATTTTTCTTTTCTCACCTTCACTTCCATTGTGACACCCATCAAAAATAGGATCGAGAATAATTTTACTTCTCTAAGATTTTCCAGCAAAAACCGGTGTATTTTAAATTGTACACTCAACGCTTAACACATTGCAGACTCTCCTGGTCGAGGATCTGCTTCTGTCGGTCCAGCGGGCATTTTAGATCATAATGTGTAGTAATAATAGTATTAAAATGCGTAGTTATTTTACAAATTTCTAATTGAAATGCAGTATTATTGAAAAAGATTAGATGTTGAGAAGATAAACACGCTAAAAGGAGGCTTATAGGTATGCTAAATCAATACTTAATAAGAAGGGTTTTCATTGGATACGTTTGCTTTCGATGAAGTAGTATCCTTTACTGCAGATAGTACTCAAAATATAATGTTGTTAAAAGAAGTTCATCGCTAAAATTTTAAGCAAATTTACTTAAAAAAGAGTAACTCTGAATGAGTCACGTGCTTGTTTAGGGCCACTGGGTGCTGCTTCAGAACTGCCACTTAGGGCTCGCATACATGAACGAGCTCTTCCTGCAGTTGAGCGAAAACCCCAAGACGCACGACGACTTCCGCCTGTGGATCACTACGGAGTGTCACCCCAGTTTCCCCATCTCCATGCTGCAGATCTCCATCAAGTACACCAACGACCCACCGCAAGGTAGCTGATGAGATTTTAATGCTAATTATTAATTTGAAAAATGTATTTTACATACTAGTATTACTTTATTCTTTGCTAATAACCTAATGGTATACACTGTTTGCAAAAATAGTTCAACGGCATTTTGAAAGCCTTAGGTGGCCAAACAAGTTTCATTTGTGGTCTTTTGGGGGTTCATGATAAGAAATGAATAATTTGCTTTCAAATACCGTGGATAGACTATGTTTTTCGCACTCTGCTAGTTGATTTCTTTATAATATTATGGGACTCGCATGTAAACAAATACTATCACCACGAATATGTATACGAAGCATGGGCGACATGGAGTTGGTATATTTCCTAGAAACGAATGCTACACACGACGCTGCTTGTGGCCATAGGAATGCGAGCGGGTTTGAGCCGCACGTACGGGAGCATGAACCAGGACTTCCTGGAGTACACAACGGCGCCGCAGTACCTGCCCCTCATCTACGGGGTGTCGTTCTTGCACAGCGTGGTTCAAGAGCGGCGAAAATTCGGGCCCCTGGGCTGGAATATCCCTTACGAGTTCAACTTTGCCGACTGGTACGCGTCGTGTTGCTTCATGCAAAACCATCTCGACGAGATCGACCCTAAACACGGCGTAAGCTGGACCACTATCAGGTACGTGATTACTCTGCATTTGTTTTGGTTTCGGTTAGTTTCATGCAAATGATACCAATATTTTTTTATTAAACGATAATATAGTTAACATAACGCCTTACGTTTGTATGAATATATGTTTGTATGATCATATTGACATAGATTTTTATTTAACTAAAGAAAAAGTAACATTTTAAAGGTAGTGACGTAGAGCACGTACTTTCTTGCATTAGTGACGGTTGTGTGATTATATTATATTATATTTTATAATACTGCAAATTCTGTTTATACTAGCACATCACAGCTAAACTCAACCTTCCCGACACTATGAAAAGTTTTTGCATTTGCAATTATCAAAAAATCATTAATTTTAATTGTTTATCTCAAGATCTAAGTTAACAAAATAAATTTCATTTAAGGGGGAAAATCAATATTGTATTTGTAGGAAGACGTAAAAACAATTTAAACATTTATAGTTATCGAAAATTCAGTGAGTTCATCGAAAATGAGACCAGCGCCATTTTTATATCCAAACGTATTTAGGTTCTATCGCAAAAAAATTGAATACATTCTTATAACATTTTGGAAATGTTGATGCTTTGAGTAAAGAAATACCGAAAATCAAAATATCCGTTTCATTTTTTTTAGGATCTCAAGTTCAATCAGATCGATCGGACTATGACACTGTTAGAGAAAATCGTCGGAACTTTTTAGACGCTAGTCTTGACCATAGACTTCATAGATATGTGATTTCCTGTAAATCAAGTTTTCGGTATCAAGGACCCACAAAACCCGAAATTTGACATCACCTATGATATAGGAAAAAAACTTCCTATGATTTATCCGCTAGTGATTCTGGCAAACGGGCACACATTTTGCCCAAAAACAATTTTTCGTTATCAAAGACACACTAAATGACATAATGTGTTATAGAAAGTAATTTCCTAGATCTAGGAAGAAATTATCCATTTTGCGATATCAGTGACCTACAATACGAATAGGTCTATCAAAAAATTCCTTTTTCGACGCATTACAAAACTTTCTCTAGACTACGTAAGTAGCCGGCTTGAAGGTAGAAAATCATTAAAAGACAATGTACTACGAAATTGAAAATGTACTTAAACATGACATGTTTCTTTTGGTGATGGGGATTAATTATTTTTCGTACAAATTGCAGTAAACATTTTTAAATAATAGAAAGATCTTTGTTATTTATATTACCTTAGCATCAACCTTACGCATAAACAAAATATAATAGTTTTTCAAAATAGTATTGCCAATATTATCAGGTAAACAATTCGAAAAAGAAATATTGTGACCATCGATCTAAGATATTTTGAGGGAAGTGCACTGTGTTCCTACTCCTCGGTAGACACTTAACTTCAATTGTCACCCCTGAAAGAGACGTATGTTTGGGTGGTAGCACTAAGTTCATCATGCGCCCATGTTGAGCCTTTAATTTTTCATTATTCTTTTAAGTTTTACTCAGTAAATTTCATTATATTTTATTTTTTTCTACAAAGAATATTAGAATTTATTTTATCAAGTAGTATACTATAACCTTCAAGAATTTAATAAAGGTCTGTAAGATATGGTGATGCATCAACCACTGTTTACTTACTTGGTTAGGTTTTTTAAATGGGAACTTTTATAACTTTTTACATAATCTAGAAAAACAGTCTATGTTTAAAATAAAACTTGTATAATCTTTAAGAACTGTTAATAATTGAAAAAATCTATTTGCTATAACATGTTTTTGATGTTACTGTCAAAGAAAATTACATTTTTTAACATTATAATGATTATCGCATAATTACTGTTCTTAGATATATGCTCGGCGAGATTCAATATGGAGGACGTGTAACAGACGATTACGACAAACGCCTGCTGAACACATTCTGTAAAGTATGGTTCTGCGAGGACTTGTTCTCTGAGACATTTCAGTTTTACAAAGGTTATAAAATGTTAATTTTCAAGAGCTTGCAAAGTTACATGGCAGCCATTGCCAGCATGTCTGTTGTGGATCCACCACAGGTGTATGGTCTCCATTCAAATGCTGATATTAGGTAAGTTTTTTATTGATAAATGACGTATTACGAACATATTTCTACACTACAAAGTCTAAATGCTTACACATGCCTAAATTGTAACGTAATTAGGCGTTCCTTGACAGTATAGTCATAATTGAAATGCGGCCAATTAACTTTAGCCTAACATGAAAACGTGTAGTTTCGTGAATTCCATTACGCCTCTTAGGTAATGAACGAATTTTAATTTACATTTGCTAATCTCGCGATTTTTTAAAATTTATTTTTATTCATTTATTTGAGACTTTTACCCATCTTTCAACTCTTTATAGTTAAAATGATGGGAAGGGATTCTGGAACTCAAGAAAACGTGCGCAGTTAATCTTCTCCCCCATTCGTCACATACAGTTTTTACTGTTGTTGTTGTTTTTTTTTTGCTAAATAATTCTAAATATAAATATAAAGCATTTCAATGCACGCTTTTTAGATGTCAGAACCTCAATTGCAAATACGAGTATTTCTGTATTCTTCTCCATTTTGTATACCTGGATAACACTTTCATAAAATATTTTCAGAAAAAAATGCTAAATTTCTAAACATTTAACACTATTAGAATCAGCCATTAGTGAATGTAACAATATGTCACATTTATATGTTTGAAAGAGGATATCTCGACAAATAAATATATTAGATATTAATGATGCAATATAAAGAGGATATCTCGACAAATAAATATGTTTATGTGTTTAAAATTACGTTTATTTGGTCCATAATGGCATTGAGCTTGCTTCGGTTATACTTTATTCCCAATTGTAAGTACATGAGCAAATGGTTTAATCATTTTTATGAAGGCCGTATTTTTCCTATCCTAGCGTAACCGATCCTTTCCCACCCATCCTCGAACACGTGCCACAGAGACTGAGACCTGACGTCTGCCTGCAGCTTCCAAGCGTCTGTGACGAAGAACATCCTGGAGACGATCGTGTCCATCCAGCCCAAGGAGGCCGGCGGCGGCGGCGGCGGCGAGTCGCGGGAAGCAGTGGTGGCGCGGCTCACCAAAGACATGTTGGGCAAGCTGCCGCCCGACTACGATCCCTTCGAGGTCAAACAGAGGTGGGAGTCGCAGCTCTTTGGAAATGTTTCTCGGATTTTTTATTATATGTAGTCGGAATCGCACCCCAGATTTTTCGAAAGAGAGAGAGAGAGAGAGAGAGAGAGAGAGAGAGAGAGTGAGAAAGAGAGAGTGAGAAAGAGAGTGTGAGAAAGAGAGTGTGAGAAAGAGAGAGAAAGAGAAAGAGAGAGAGAGAGAGAAAGAGAGAGTGAGATAGAAAAGGTACACGTATAATGCGTAGACAACTTGACGTTTCCTTATAAATAATTTTGTTAATGTATGATAAATATAAAAATTATTTTTACTTCTTGTAACAATATTTACAATGCAAACTAATGCAAATTGATGAGATTCGTTAGTACAACAAAATTAATAAAAGCTGTATTGCTAATATGAATCATTTGATTCGGGGGGCATGAGCCCATCTTTGAGTGCGCCACTGTATATTGTATAAATTGAAGTCAGTCACAGATATAATTTAATAGAAATCCATATTCTTTCATTTACATTTTTCAAGCGTTTTAAGTTTTATTTTAATGTCAACATATATTTGATATTTTTAATAAAAATAATAAAAGTTTTTGCCAATAGAATGCACATTTAAGCCAATTGTTAAATTAATGTACTTAGGGTCATTTTACATATACGTTTTTACATTTTGTTCAAGGAAATTTGAACTAGTGGTGCTACAGAATGGCACAGACTTTCCGGTTTTTCTTTGGGTTTCGGCTTGCTACTTGCACTTTCCACATACTCTTGCCAGCTACCATCTATCGCCGCATGTATATATATTTTTTTAATTTTCTTAATTTTTTGCTTTTCTAATAGTAGAACGGAAATATTATTTTAAGAATATTGAAGACCAGTAAAACCTCGTCCTAAATGGCAATTTTCTTTGAAACTTTGGAACCGTTTTTAAGAAAATGGCGTTTAATTTCTACTCTAAATTCGAAATTTGAAGCTTTTTTTCACAGAAAATTTTTGTTTTCTCTGTGTTGAACATCATTTGAAGGAATTTTAAGTACCTTTATTCACAAATACAATAGTATTTACAAATTTGCTGGAAATGTGCATATCAACGGAGTGAGAGATCTTACAAAAAATTACATTTGTGTAATTTTTGAAAAAACAATATTAGTTTAAAAATGTATAGAAGTCCAATGTACTAACAGAATATCAAATAAAAATAACAAATAATAAAATAGATGTTTGAAACAAATATTGAATAAAGGATTATTTAGTGTTATTGAAAGATTTCTTGGAGAAACTCCTTACAAACAGAATTTGAAGTAATTAGGCAACCTTGATTTTTCTTTTCTTTAATAGACACAAAAATATTAGAAAAGCGTTTTACTTTTAAGAAAGCTACGTAAAGTTGCCCATGCGAAAAAATAAAATCGGGCAAGAACAACCGTACTCGTGGATATATTTCTTAACTTTATTAACGAACTGAGAGGTACACACGTACAATTAAATCGCCTCGAATATAAGAAATTAGTTAAATTTCACATCCAGTTGCAGATTCTTCACGTCTCTGAATACGTGGGGTAGTATCAAGTAGCAACGGACCGATAAAATGTAATATAATGTACAAGAAGCGCTCGTGCTACAGACTCGGTCTATCTATCATGTCTACGAGGCTACTGGCCTCAAAATTGCAGATTTTAAGGCCCTATAACTCTTTGTTGAGTAAACTAAGTAGTTTTTGATAATGCTGCAAGGGTTGCGGGTTGCATTTGTCGTGAATATTGAAATGAGTTTTTCAACTAAGCCTTTAAAGCCAGAGTGCAATTCATCAAGTCTCCGTGAAATTCTCTTTCTTTAGAGACATTGATTGCGGGTCAGGGCCCCAAAACTCATCTATACTCTTTAATTGCACATGCCTACAACTATTGCAATGATTTAAATGTCATCAACGTAGATGTAATCATAATTATAACCAAGCGAATTTTACTTATTTTTAATTACATGTTTTCCTCATCAATGAGTGCATACCTACTGAATTATTCCAAAGGAATAGTGACGACCTCTGTAAATACTAACATTTAGGAACAACAGGAAATGCGTCCGCGTCGCATTATACGCGGTGGTCCTACTAGTTGATAACAAAGTTGCCAAGGTAAGGGGAAGGACCTGGCTGCCAGCTCATCCGAACCATATTAACAGCCTCCTCAGTCAGCTCCCAACAAATAACCTTACATGCTTGCGCCTTACCTACATGTGCTGGTTGGCAACGAAATCCTGCCAATGAATAGCAGAGATTCAAATTTTCCTGAGGGTAACGTGAAAATGAAACATGTCGTCCGTCTCGATCGTAGTTTCTTCTTCAATTGGGTACAGAACCCTTGCAGATACGAGAAGTGAACGGATGTACTATACGCGTAAAAAACAATCATAGGTATGAGACAACTATTAATACTTCTAGCTGCTGCGAGAGCGAATCTTGAATTAATGAAGATGCAAGTAAACCTTATCAGTCTGTGCCAGTCAGGGTGTACACAGAAAGCATAAATCTACAGTATTGTATAAAATAGAGAAATCTAAGTCTTCACAAAAAAAGATGGCCTCCAAATTCAAGGCCTTATGTTGGTGGTATTGGACAGTATCGATTAGCGCCGACCCAGCAAAATGTAATAGAATGTCTAATAACATCTCATTCTGTAAATAACGCATGAGAAGTGTTTCTTTGAGATTTTGGATTAAAGTTCCAGGTTTTAAGCACATAGAAAGCTACGTTCAGGAGTTATTTAACTAAATAGATTTTAACAATGCAAGCTAGTGTTGTGGGTTGCATTTACCGTGAATATTTAGATGCATTTTTTAAACAAAACCTTCACATTTTTAAAGTCAAAGTGAAATTCGTCACGTCTGCTTAAAGTTCTCTTTCCTCAGAGACCTCATTTATAAAGATTGGTTGCGTGTGAGAGCCACAAAAAGTATCCATACTACTGAAATAATACAGAAGACAATACAACTGACTCTTGTATGAAATAGTTTCATTTTTAATGCGCGTTTTAATATACAGTGTATGTATCTTAAACATTCTGAAACAAATCGTATTCATATCAACAGATCAAAGAAAATTGTTTTAACATTAAAATCTAGTACCAATGCACTTAGTAATCGACAATTTTCTCATAATTAACAAACTATATAGGGAAAGGTTTGTAACATAATATTTACAGCACAAATCAGCTGACACAAGAGATTAACTTTGATGTAATATTTATATAGAAGAAATTATGTTATAAAAACACGTATTGTTCATGTATTCTGCATCTTTCGGTCCCCTAATCGCAGAATGAAACTTCGGCATAAAATAATATTATAGAATAATAGAATTTTTCTACACATAAATTTTAATTGAAATATTTGAAGTCGCTAGTGACAAAAAAAGTAGTTTTTAGCGTTCCTGGAAATGTTATTTTGATCTAATTTTCACAGAAATATTTTCAGCTTCAGAAAAACGTCAAAAGACATCATTTCAACTCATTGTACGCGCAAATGCAATAATGCATAGAGGACGACGTAATACAAATATTAACGATAAGAGAGACGATACATAATATGACAAAGAATACATGAAAACAATTCAAGAAAGTGTGTGCTTTTATAGTATTGCTAGCTTTTTTTAATAATTATTCAGTGTTGGCCTCTTTATTATTTTCATCACATTATTATATGCACTAACATCGCGCTGCCTCATGGAATATGAAATGTCTAGAATATGCCATTCTGTTGTAGGCTGCAAGCCATGGGTGCCTTGTCGTCCATGAACATCTTCTTGAGGCAGGAAATTGATCGCATGCAGAAAGTGATAAAGCTGGTGCGAGAGACTCTTAAGGATCTGCTGTTGGCCATTGACGGCACTATCATTATGAATGAGGTAATCATCTCTGTATAATATTGGTTTAGAACTTGCCCTGTCCTCTCCCCATACACACACTACTCCACAAGTCGAAAGACCAATCGGGAGCTTAGATGTGTCGCAACTGGGGGAGATATCTGAAGGAAAAATCCCCCGCACGCCCACGTATAGTGAGGCGCTTGTTCTATCAGCAGGGGATGGCCATCGCCCTCAAGCGCAAAAACATTGACTACCCTAACGGGGATAATGGCCGTAGCAGTTGACGCGCCCGGAGAGACAAATGCGATGAATCGCGTGACGGTGGTGCTGGTTTCGCCCGCAGGCCCTGCGCGACTCGCTGGACAACATCTACGACGCGCGCGTGCCCCAGATCTGGCGCCGCAGCTCGTGGCCGTCGGCGACGCTGGGCTTCTGGTTCACGGAGCTGCTGGAGCGCAACTCGCAGTTCTCCAACTGGGTCTACACCGCGAGGCCCGCCAGCTTCTGGATGACCGGCTTCTTCAACCCGCAAGGTGCTGCTTCTTCAGCACGTCTTATGGCAAACGAGAGCAATTCCTTTGTTTTTATGTTCAGGAAATTAAGGTTCCAAGAATGTTTACCCAGAGAACTGGGATATGATATGCTGAAAAGTAGTTACTAGAACTCCCAAATTGCAGTACACACTTTTCAAGAAACGCATTATAGGGTGTCTCAGAGTAAATGTTACAAACTTCTACGGCATTATCACGACGTTGAAGACTTTTTAAGTAATTAGAGAAGTAATTAGTTGAAGACTATGAGTTTTAAGTAATAAAATTACACATATTAAACAAAATCTTGCCCTCTTTGTTAGGCAGCTTCTCGTAGAATCTCTTTGATTGAGTCACAGCGTGACCAGTTGAACACTACTGTGTTAGCAGTTCCATAACAACTGAAAGCCAATGTGATGTAACTTCGTTAGTTTGTTAAGAATCGCGTCCTCTACAGTCGAATCGCCATAATCCGAGGTAATTTGGACGAAGGTACCTCTGATTACAAAACAAAACTGCTGACATGGAAAAAAGGAAAATGCATAACAAATTTTCAACTACAATGTATAACAAAGTTTAATTTAATGTGCAGATACTAATAAAATTACAGATACATACATACATACATACATACATACATACATAGATACAAACACACATGAAGGTGAACTGGTCACAACAATGTAGCAGACTGACAATGGCACTTCCGACGTGCAATGGCAATGATTGACTTGACTGACAATGCCACTTCCAATGACTTGGCGCACATTAGGCCATCTCGTATTACACGGAATCTCGGATTAGCGAGTGTCGGATTACCGCAACTCTACTGTATATGAATTTCCCGACACAAGTTCATTGGCAGAGATTCATGTTCATTGATCTCTCCAAATGTCATAGAAGTTTGAAATATTGAATCTGAAACACATGTATATGATCTACAAGTATTGGTGATAGATTTATAATGCACTAACATTTTACAAAATGTTTTAAAAGGTTTAAAATGTTAAGCTTCTTTTCGTAACGAAGAGGGCATTTAATGTAGATATTTTTTATTCTGAGTCAGAGCATATTCACTTACCATAAGTTCTTAGAACTTATTCCTCCAATTCTTTTTGGGCAGTTGAATAAAGTACACAAAGGTATTTTTCCTGGGTTTGAGAAGACCTTTCGAAATTATAAGGGTAAACTTGCTGAGCAGAGTTCCTTTTGGCGAAATAACATTCCAGCCATTTTGATAACTGGCGAGTATTAAACATTAGCCTTAATTGCATTAGCCTTCTGACACGAGGAGCGCGCTGCGTAGGGTTTCTGACGGCCATGCGACAAGAAGTGGCCCGCGCGCACAAGGGCTGGTCCCTGGACGCAGTGGTCCTGCACAACGAGGTCACCAAGTGGGCGCGCGAGGAGGTCAAGAGAGCCCCTGAAGTAAGTGGGAATAAATAAGTTAAATAAATAAATAATAAATATAATAAATAAATAAATAAATAAATAAATAAATAAATAAATAAATAAAAAATAAATAAATTAAATAAATAAATAAATAAATAAATAAATAAATAAATAAATAAAAATAAAAATAAATAAATAAATAAATAAATAAATAAATAAATAAATAATATAATAAATAAATAAATAAATAAATAAATAAATAAATAAATTAAATAAATAAATAATATAAATAAAAATAAATAAATAATAAATAAATATTAAATATTTAATAACAATAATAATATATTATTAATAATAACTACTCATATTTATAAATATATTTGGTTGCCCCTTGGATCTCAAAACCAGTGATTCTTGTCCTGAGACTCTAGTAGTGTGTGTGTTTCCGGACACAAAGAGTGCGAGGTTTCATTACAGGTTTCATTATTGATACTGATACTCATACTGATTTGATCGGTGGAGCTTCATCTTGCTTTCTCCGTTTTTACAACTGCAAATGCGAGTCATACATGCTGGCTATGTGAGATTTAATGACTTTTTAAAAATTAGTTAACTGAGTTTCCATTAAGGGCCAGGGACTCCTGCTTTTTGCAGGGAATACTCAATGAAGTGCTAGGGTGATGATGAGGACGAACACATAGACAACCATACCCGCGACGGAACTCGAACCCGCGATCCTTCGGCTCGAGATTGTCAGGGCACTACTGCCTTAGCGATCTCGGCCACCCGGATCGGCGATTGATGATCATGAAATGTAAATTTAAAAGCATAAAGACAAAAAGCCATTATCGGCTGAGCAGAGGCAACTGAAGCGCCTATCCGTAGCGTCATCGGCGCATTCTTAATTCTCATTTTGTTTATGACATAATTTTACATTTTGAATTTAATTTCGTGGTCAATGTTACAATCGTTTATACTATTCTGTTTTACTCTGATTTTGTGATTTATAATCTCTGTTATTTTTGCTTATTTGAAACTCGTCTACCCTATCATTACAATCTGCAACTATTGTACTATTCTTAGGTCGATAAAATATTTCAGTTATGTTTGCTATAAATGCATCTTTCAATTCACCGAAAACGTTGTTGCGGGATAGGAGGGGGTGTTGGTGTACGGACTGTACCTGGAAGGTGCCGGCTGGGACAAGAAGCGACAGCGGTTGGTGGAGTCCGTCAGCAAAGTGTTGTACGTGTACATGCCCATCATACACATCTTCGCCATCAATTACACTGGACCCAAGGACCCCAAACTGTACCAGGTACGTGCCAGCCCAAGAAACCCTATTCCCGTTTATAGATATTTTTCTGATACTGTAGAAAATACAAACTTTTTTCTGTTCTTGGTCGAATTGAGTGAATCATTATTCCGTGGATTAAGGAATTCTATTGTATTAATTTATAAGTCCAGAATTGGAAGTGGGTTGTGATGTTACAAACGCAGATTCATCAATTTAATTTTAAAAATTAACTTTCTAAAAGTAGTCTTAGTTTGATTTCTTTTAATTAAGTCATATTTTATCATTTTTATTCCATTAAGACAGATATTACAAATATCAGTATATTCTACATACAAAATCTATATAATACAAATGTGAATAAGACAAATGAAATAGGGATAGATTCTATATATTTCTCATTCCACGAATATATTACATTTATTTCCCATTTCACTTACAATTCGATAAGTGGTGGAGACCTCTCTCTGTGTACACAGTCACCTGAGCTTTAGACAAACAGTATATTATGTTACCGGTCTTAATGAGGACATTACTGGGAACTATCCAGCATCACTTGAATAATGTGTCATTGTTTTTATCCAGCAAATTCAATCGTTACGTATAAGCGCGAGTAGAACCACCAAATGATCACTTCGCCAATTAGATATTGTTCATTGTTCTATCAGAAATGACATGAATACTACAGAAATAGCGACCTCAAAATATGATTTTGAAGATTAAGTATAGGTGTTTAAGTGCTAATAAGTAGAATTATGAGACATTGACATACAAATTAATTAATATAAAAATAATAATAAACTAATAATAAATAATAATATTAAACGAAAACTGAAAGGAGTTTTTTTCAAATGGAAATCATTCTCAACACACAGCCTCTACAGCAGAAACAAAGTTACGGCGATTAATACATATGCAATACCACTACTTACTTATTCATTTGTGTTAGTTAAATGGTCAGTGACAGACTTGGAAGATCTATCATGGCTAGTCAGAACACAACTGACAAAACAACCGAATGAAACATCCAAAATCAGCAATAGAACGGGTGACTTCCAATACTGATGGGTGGCATGGGAATCACTGACATACCGCGACTCCATAGCAAACAAATTAACGACCTAAGATCTACTTTCACGAGAAGCAAACCGGTAATGAACTTTTCGTTGTCATTTGAAAAGCCGATATCCGGGCAACTCCATTACACCTACCAGATGCTGCCACTTTTACTTCAAAAAGTACATCAATAGGAGATCATAAAAAAACTGGAAACAAAAATAATTGCTTGACACATTTACAAATCAATTAGAGAAAGATAATATAGATAAGGAAGCAACAAGCCTCTAGCTCAAAAATTGAAACCTTTTTGGTGAAACAACTGGATCTATAAGGCGATTCAAGATAGTGTTTTAGCTAGTAGAAATTATGGAAAATGCATCATCAAGAAAGCAATTTCAGATGGTGAATGCCGAAAATGTCATGAAACAATCAAAACAATAGAACACATAATAGGATCCTGCCGTACACTAGCAAACACAGAATATACCAAAAGACTTAATAATGAAGCAAAAATTATCATCAAAATTAAGCGGCAGACACAGCTTCAGCATCAGCTTATTATAAGTACGGACCGTCACCTGCAGTTGATAACAGTGATTTCAATCTCTATTGGGATAGAGAAATAAGGACTTACGTCACTATATCAGCCAACAGACCTGACATTACTTTAGTAAACAAAAAGAAAGAAGAAGTCTATCTAATTGAAATTGCCATTCCACTCTCCCACCATATCGACAATAGCTATAGAACAAGATCAGTAAATACAAAGACCTGGCAGATGAAGTCAAGTAAATGTAGAATGTTAAGAATGTTTATATTAGACCCATCATCATTTCGGCCACAGGACTAATTTCTAAAACCGCGAAGAAACACTTAGAAATCCTTCAATTAGAAAGATGCTTTTCAGACATTCAAAAGTCTGCGATACAAGACACACCATATTCTGAGAAAGGTCTTGGGAAACGAGCTTGACTGAATTCAACTGAATAACCGTTTAACCAATCGTGCGGGGTCAATGAGTGCAGTGTGTAAGGGAATGGTGATAATGACACGATCGTAGATGGCTTATATGAATGTGTTATTTCTATTATTTATTTAAATTTGATTTTACTTGTATTGTTTTATGTAAATTTGATTTCATTTGTGTTCTGATGAAGCAAAATAATGTGTCAACTGTAATATGTTTTCAATTTGAATTCTCATGTATTATGTAATGTCCAACACTGTTGAGAAAGTTAATATATAATAATAATGTAGAAGAATATACCAATATTTAACATAGAAAAATACAATAAGTAGCACTACACCAAAATTATTTATGATTTTGACTCGCATATGCCAAAAGCATTTTATAGAGCAACTTATCGCTAGCCTGAGTACAGAAGAGCCTAAACTTTAAACTATGTCATACATTTTAGTATAAAAAAGAAATATATTCCGAATGTAAAAAGACAGGTTGATAATTCTGTGCAGGCATTCAAAGGAATAGAAAAAGTTCATTGACATTCTCAGAACTGTGAAAGCTAAACTATAATTCACACACATAGTTGTTATAAATGAAACAATGACTTCATCGCGAATTCCAGCATTTACGAGAATAAAAGCCATACCAAATGCAGCGTGATAAATCGCAGAAAATATAGTTAACAGCTGTTTTAAGAGGAGGTCATTTTATAAGAATTATTTCGTCACATTTCTTATTTGAGTTCACCCTTTTGCATAGAGGATGAATAATGTGCGTGGAAAAAATCTGATTTTTTGTGATGTACCTATTACTTAGAAAATCTTTATTGCGTGATATCGCGTTTTCTAGCATCAGCTAGATGATTCACGTAGCAAATACCATATTCACACGGCCACATCATCCGTTGACGCATCAACTTATTTTCCTCTTTTTTACGTGGCTATATCTTGAGCATAAATTGTCTTGAATCTTTCTATTGAATATTTCTCTTATTTTCTTTTACTTTTTAACAACTTTTTATGCACATCTGACATAATATAGGTGAGTGAGCAGAGTGACCAATTATTGGTTTTTGAGGTGCGATAACTACTTACGTCACTAGTAGCGAAAGGGTAGGACGTTATAGCCTGGAGGTAGCGGTGTCCTTCGCCCACTGGATGCTGAGATCCGGTGCCAACATTCACGTCGGTCTGCGGTTTACCCCTATCACGTGTCTCTCTGACCGCACCAGCCAGGACAAGCTCTACTCTCCGAATGTGCGCTCCCGACAGGTGTTGTAGTAATGCGTGGTGCGCTTGGACTAGGTGTAGGTTAAGTGTTTGCAAGGTGAGAGTAGGGAACACAAACGTGAAAGAGAAGTTAGCGTGCTCTCTGAGAACACCTCGTGAAGGTATTATTTCGGTATTGGTAGAGGAAACTACGGAAAACTTCCCATCAGAGTAGTCGTCTACTATAATTCTCTACGTCATGGTATTCGACCCAGCTATGTAGCTAGTGTAGGATATCCGCCACCGTCGGGGATCGTGATCGGGATCATGTCTCAATCAAGACCGTTGGGGAATCGATCCCTACGTCATCCCGGTGAAAGATGATGTAGAGGCAACGATGTTCCCACTGCACTATCGCAGCCTGAACACACGACTATTATAATCGAATCCCGGTCTCTTTATCCTAAACTTATATAATCCCTGCTTCATGTCCAATTTCGACTCGTTGCGCATGTATATACGAAGCGATAGGGCAGCAGACGAGTACGCGGTGGCGTGCTTGTTGCAGGTGCCCGTGTACAAGAAGCCGAACCGCACCGACCTGACGTTCGTGACGCCGCTGTGGCTGCCAAGCGGCAGGGCCAACCCCGACCACTGGACGCTGCGCGGCGTGGCGTTGCTCTGCGACATCTCGTAGCCCTCCAATAAAATATCGCCGGACGCCTTCCAAACGCTTCGCCTTTCATTCATTTCCTTCCTTCCTTCCTTCCTTCCGCGACGTTCACAGTGGATGCGAGTGCACCCGAAGATAACTTCAGACTTCAGCCAAAGACTGCTCCAGGCACCCGCCTGCAAATTAATACTAGTGGACCCGGCAATACCTCGCTATTGCAATGGATTACATTTCACACGCTCGGTGGTCACGTGATGTTAATCACGTTATACGCTACTCTCTGCAAACATTTTAAGAAATGAAAGACATCCTCGGGAGAAGTGGTTTGTTGTATGTCCTGGTTTGGACGTGGTTGTCAAGTATCCTTTTGCTATAACGTTCATCCTCAAGTTGGGGCATGCATTCGCTGTCTTAGAGAAAGTCGATTTACTTATCCGAGATAACATTCAAGTAATAATTCCGACCGATATTTCACAATCGCAGGGGCGGAAAATCCCGAGAAGACGCGCTTAATACTTGCGGGTTCAGCGGGTTGCGTCGAACATCTGTTTAGGGGTGTTTGAGTCAGCATAAACGCATAAAATTATCAATGCGCGTCTATGTGCGAAAAATATACGCATATTCCCGTTGTACTGTGTTTATATTCCTCGCGCAAGTATAATCAATACGTTGACTAAGTTTTATCGTAATCGGATGAACGGTACAGCAGCGCATAAAATAGAACAAACATTGATTTTTATATAGTAGATCTGCAACAAGTGATGGAAGCAAAAATATTAAAACTACTCTCTGAAAGCTAGGTTTAAAATGCGATAGGTTGGTCTTGACACGAGAATGTATTTAGAGAAAAGTTTATATTTCTACTGCATTAAAGAGGCTATGCTCATGGTTGGCAGAAAGTATCGTGAAGCCTTTCGGCAATTTCTTATGAAATTTCCTGAAACTGTTCTTATGCTGTGGTATCTTGTAGGTCTTCTATAGGAGTTTTCGTTCACAAACAAACGAAATTAAAGACAGTAAAAGAATAATGGGTATCACTTGTTGAAACAAATACATTATTGCATGAAATTGGTCTTCGTTTCAGCGCGAATGATCTGCATAAACGTTCTGCAGTTACTGCAAGTAGCTAAAAGACGTCTCACTTAGGCGCACGGATTGTGCATTTAGTAAATGTATCTCTCGGAACTTTTATGCTTATTTCAATATTTTGATTTTGCTATTTAACCCCCTATAATTTTTTATAATACAATTAATCTACGACCTTGTGAAATGGCTCATACCGGTCGAATAATTCACGTTCTGACACTGATCCCCAACTTATAAGTTCGGCTATGCTCGCTATAATTCAGACGTTGTGCGCTGTAAAGACGTATCCTATGGCTAAAACACGATCAGGAACGGTTCTATCCTCCCTAACGCGGATTAGGCCAGACAGGGATCCCTTCTGCTTGTACCCTTTTCATTCTTCGTTTTGACGAACGATTCAGGAGTTTTAGCGTAGGCGCGCATGCGCTGAGTGGTCNNNNAGAGAGAGAGAGAGAGATTGAATTAAACCTACAAAAGGTAATTATAACAAAGCTACTCACAAACAAATTTATTAAACCACAATTGTTAAGCTTCTAGGGAGTTGAGTTTTCCAAGTCTTGGCATTCCGTGGAAGTATTTGAAATGGAAGATGTACAAGATGAATTATAGCCACGTGATTTGTCAATTTCTAATGAATTGCACGCACGTGTGTACTCATTGAAGTATTTTCCTAAATAATTTTGGCTGTAACGTTTCACATTGTTTTGATAGCATGTTCTTTGTGCTCTTCACAATCTAATCTTTGCATAGTAGTTGCCTAAAATATGTGTAATTTCTAGTTCGTTCTGTTCATTTGTATTTTCTTCACAATTTTTTTAAATTTGCTTCCATATATTTTCTCTGTTTCTTTTCCCGTTTTTCGGCGCCAAATCTTTAATATTAGATTATATTTTAGAGTTTTAAATATTACCAAAACGACACATTTTAATTTTGTATGGGTACATAAAGCTATTATCGACCTAAAACAATTGCTATTTTTTCTTAAAAAGGTAAATAAAGCGATTACAGTGGAGTGCAAAGGGTAAAGTGAGAATCGTATGGATAATCATATAGACATCTGGGCTATGTTTAATTTGAATATATTCTTTCTTAGCATTGGTTATTTACGACACGGGCAGACATGAGTGAAATAGTCAACGGAAGGTCTCAGTTTCGATTACCGGTGGAGTAACCAGTTACCTTCACTTGGATCAGTAAGGTCAGATTACGCTGGGCCTACGATAATGTAGGATACTGACATATTATAACATTTACAGCACATCAGAATGGGGTACAAAGTCTAAATTGTTGAGCTTTACCTAGTTCCAATTTCAATTACTTTACACAAAGCCATATTTACTACTATTGATGCAAATTATTATCAACACATATATTACTGCTAATACATTATTTTACATTTTGTCAATTTGGTTACGCATCGTATATCTCTAGTTATAATACTGAATATACTGATGGTAAATGTCTTTTTTGTGCGTGTTGCGAATACACTTGTGCGTATTTGTAGCCAGGAAAAAATGTAATGCTTTTAGATATAAATACATAGGCAATATGCAGCAGTCGAACTAGTCTTACCACAATAAATTGAATACGGAAGTAGTGGTTTCCTAATCTTCACCTCAAAACAACCGCTCAGTTTCGTTCATTAATAGAGATTAATTGGAGTCGTTTCTAATCGCAGTCTGTTGTTGTAGTAATCAGGTTGATAATCACCACTTCCTTTCGCAACAAACGCACAGTGCGTTTCTGTTACCGTCACCGCCATCTCTAGAACAACGCCGATATTGCGTACATAGGAATATTCCTGGAGGAAATGCCACTTAAATGTGGTGTATTAATTCTCCGGTCTTTTGTCCCAGCACAGTAATTGGAGGTTACCCGGCGTTGTGGGAGATAGGGATATAAACAAACCTTAATATCATTTCCACAAAGCTGCGGACAAGCATGCAAGCAAATTAAAACCCACAATTTTAAACGAAAACCACAAATTCTTTCAATAAGAATTATGTAACTCCATGCAATACAGTTTTACAATAAAGAACGATATTTAAAATAATGACCCTCAGGAGACATTGAATATCGCAATAACATGAACAATAAATATTTTCTACCAACATATAACATGGATATTGCAAACTGTTTGTGAGACTAATAAATTAAGCTTAATAAAATTGGGAACATGTGCAGCAGCATTACAAATATGTACTATGTAAGTAAAATTACGTGGTCATTTTTAACGGTTACATGACAAAATATTTGTACTTTCTCGCATACTACATGTGCTTTCTCGCATACAAATTCTGCAGTAAAAACAGCGTTGTTTTCCTACAAACTTGTTTATGGTCCAAGATACTGAACAAGTGGAAATTCTTGTTCCTTTATAAAATAAAGAACTTGCTTTCAAGTGAAGTCAGAATCCACGTTTTGTGGGACCATCACCCACAGAAATTACTTTACGGATAAACCCCTGTCCATTTGTTCAACCGTCTGACAATAACACTACCAAATAGTCCATATGTAGAATTTTCACCCAAATCAATTTTCTCCAATCAATCTGGCTGTAGTCGCGATCCCTTAAATTGTCTGCTATAATCGCTCACCCCTCAAATTTCAAACTCTGCTAATTTAAGTCAATACACATTTATGGACAAGACAGTTCAATGATTTCAAAAAATTTTTGGTTAAAACAATCGTTGTTTTACTGCTCACACAGGTAAAAAGGTAAATAAATAAAACTAAAATGCACTGAATATATATATATATATATATATATATATTTCAGTGCATTTAGCTCTATCCGCAATCCATAACGGGTAGTAAAACAGATTAGGGCCGGTATTAATATTATTATTATTATTATTATTATTATTATTATTATTAGATATTTTTATTTCTCGGACACTTTACATGAAAGCTAAATATTTTTAATGTTTCTCAAACTTGGCTTTCAAACTTTTTCTTTCCTTTTTTTCTGGATTGTACGGAAAGTGAATACTGGGGCTAAACCGAAATCCTCGTCCAGACAAGATAGTTCAGGAAAGTAACTAGTATGGGAAATTCTTTGCCATTCTGTAGCACCACTAATTTTTGTAAAGATTAGAATCATGAAAACGTTTCCCAGGCATTATGTTCTGGTAGTTGTACTCGTGAATGTTCTTATTTGTAATAATTTCAGATTTAGAACACCGCGAAAGAGTTTAAAATTATGAACTCTCTTAGCGAAGTGCTTCCGATGGGCATATTCATATGTTCTATTTGTGCTTTACAAGTTCATAAAAATGACTTTCATTTTTAGTATAGAAAGAAACATGATCTAGTGATGCTACAAATGCACATAGTCTTGCATTATTTCTACTTTTTGGATTTGTCAAAACGTCAGAGAGGTCAACGGAAATGAGAACTGCGCCGTTTGATCTATCCGTTGAAAAAAATATTTGCAGTCGTTTTTGCGATTAAAAAATACATGACCTTTAAGCAAAACTTGTGTGAAGATTACTCTTTTTTTACAAAAAAATTGTCCGGTCCTGTCCTTTGGCTCGACAGCCAAGAAATGTACAAGACTTTATTTAAAGATTTAATTTTTCAATAAGATATCTTTTACAAAAATCTCTATCGTCTATATTGTATTTTGCAATATAAACTTGTTATTTTAAAAAATACAGTGTGATCAACGAAAATGGAACCAACGCCAAATTTAAAGCCATTTGAAAGTTAAAAGTTTCGCGTTTTGAGAAAATAATCTTCAATATTGTAGTTGTTGGAGGACAACGAATACATTTTGAACTGTAGCAATTTTCTAAAATACTTATTTCAACAAAAATGAGAACAGCGTTTTCAGCGTTCTCTACGTAATCTAAGGTCAAAGTTAAATAAAAAAAGTTGGAAAAATTTTGAGCATGTTAAGGCTTCATGTAAAATTCACCCAAAATAATATAGCCGAT